GGGTTTTGGACGCTGGTTCCTCCGAGGGATATGGCATCCATACCCTTGGACCTGGCCAGGTGGCTGTTGGCACTTTGTTGTTAGCCATGCTGCCTTCAGGCCAGGGGGGTTCGATCTTTGGTCTGGGTGGACGGGGCCCTCGTTGTCAGAATGCAGGGGCGCACCAAACAAAACATCTTCAACAAAACACAGTGTGATTTTATCTTGGGGACGACTTTGCGCCCGAGGGACATCCAGGGTTTTGGACGCTGGTTCCTCCGAGGGCTTTGGAGGCGGTTGCGGCGGCAGCTACAGGGAGGTTTTTGCAGCTTTGCGTGAAAAAGGCCTACCATTGAGCGACAGTAGGAACTCTGTGGTACCTATGTGGTGACAGTCCATGAAAAAAAATTGCCGGTCCCTAGAGCAGGACAAGCCAGACATGATCGCATCATTTCGGGTGACGGAGTGGGGTCATATGGGGATCACCCTGGCCCGGGAGAGGCTGCAGCCTGCAGAGTTCCAGGTGGGGGGCGCCGGGTGCCGAGATTGGCCTGTCTTTTGTTTTTGAGCCCGGCCGGAAGAATGGTTGATGCCCTTTTCCAGTGCAGCCGCCTTGTTGCTGAGATTTGTAGCAATGATTTCGGCCGGTGGCTCTTAGAGGGTCGTTTGTCGATATTCCTGGAGAGGCATTCTTGCCCCATAGCCCCATCCTAAGACTTGTTGGCTGATAGCCTCGACAGCGTGGCCAGGCGGCCAACCGAGGGATGCCCGCCTTGTTGAGCGTTGCAGGCGGGGCGGGGGCCAGTACAAGGGTGGCCTGAGATTGTGTTTTTGGGGTGGCAAGCAAGGCCTTGAGGCCACCCTGCTTTTACAGCTAGCTGTGTTCGCTTGGCGTCACAATACATCACACTGCCTTCAGAATTGCTCACTTCTGTTCCATCCTATTGCAGGGATGCACATTGGCCTTCAGAATTGCTCACTTCTGCGGCATCCTATTGACTGCTGTCGCAGCCTTTTCAAGTCTTGACATTAAGCTCTGTTTTGCTCTCACTACTCTTCGTGATGCTGCGTGTTGGGTATGTCGCCATTGGGGAAAGGGCCTTGCTGCATCCAGTGCCACTGACTGAAGTGAAGTGCTACGAGGACCCGACCACTGCCATCGCAGCTTCTGTTCGACTGAGCATCAAAGAGTTTTTTGCTTGCAGTCATCAAGGATTCAGGGTTCGAACGTTGTCATTGTTCTTTTGCCGTGGGTCTGGTCTGGAAATACTTTTCATTTCCATCACCGTATTAAATGCTAGTGTCTTTCTCGGAGCATTTTGCGCAAGGGTGACCCTGGCATGAACAGAGGACAAGAGGGAACCAAACAGGTCGTCCTATGTGAAGCTGTCGTTGCGGTGCTGCTGTGTTCGCACCAAGGTTGGGATTCAGTTTGAGTGAGACTGGCGCCACGAAGTGGAAGAAGCGAATGCACAAAGAAACCGTTGCAAACGTTCTTCCAGAGGCCATCTGCCAGCAAAAATCCAAGACTCTTTTGGAGGTGCGCATTGAGAACTTTCAACAGGCCTACCAGGCCGGGCATGTGGCGAAGTTGCAGCAGCCCGGCTGTGCCTTTCAGGTCGCAAGGTTGGATCTGCAGGAGTGCGAATGGGCTCGCATCACCGTGTTGGAGGCCACTCTTTTGGCAAAGATGACCAAGCCCGATGGTGACTTTGAAGGCTGTGAGCATCTTGCCTGGCGTTTTTTCACCCCGAAAGTGGACATGAAGAAGTTGGCCGGCATCTTGACCAAGAACGTGGTCAAGCCCGCCACGCAGGCAGTGGGCCTTCATTGCTTTAAGGGATGAGCCCCGCAACCTTTGTTTTAAGGGATGAGCCCCGCCAATCCTTCATGACAACTGTGCTCACATGTACTAGCGAGCGTCTAAGCCAGGCCACCTTGTCATCCATGGATGCATATATTGCCTTCCCGGACGCTTCCACAGCAGCAATTGTGGCTTGCTGCGTCGAGCGCGGGTTGACGAAGGAGTTCACCATCCATGAGCATGCCATTGGAGATGATGCGCTTGGAACTTGGACCTACATTCCTGCCGCTGCTAGCCCGATGACCGACTTCTGGGCAAAAGCTGCCGGTGAAGAGGAAAGGGTCTAGTCAATAAAGCATTCCGTCCTGTAAGCGCCGTCCACACAATGTAGCCGTGTCTAGCAAGGGGTTGCTAGTGAAGAACATGTGTTGCAGGTTCCAAAAGCGGACATGTATTTCATTGAAGCTCCCCTGTCGCCTGTCGCGCTTCGCGAGAGGAGGGGAAAGTGGCGAAGCGCAACTTTCAGGCCCAGCTGTCTGTCAACATCCTCAAGAAGACACCGCTTGCAGACATGATCCAGAGCGAAAGTGACAAGCTTTTATCGGAAAAGATCCTTGGTGAAATCAAGGCATTGAAGAAGCGCCGCTTGGACTTCAACCAGGAAATCGATCAAGAGATCGAATTTCTGCAGCAATCTCTCCCACGCACAGAAGCGAGCTTGCAAGCAGGGAGTGCAGGAAGTGCACCTTTGGCCGTTGAGGTGCCCAAGAGCTCGGAGCAGCCCTGATGGCCACTTTGGTTTTACAACGCGCTCGCACTCGATCAGCCACGCTCTGCATTCGAAGCAGTCCTGATGGCCCCTTTGATTTTACATGCTCGCACTCGATCAGCTGATGCGAAGCCTTCGATTTTTGTGACGCATTGGCATGATATAGATCAGCCTTTGCATGGAGTTTGACGGTTCCGAGCAAAAGCAAAGCCATGCATGAGGCAGTAGGGTTGTCCATACATGGATATGTAGTGATTTGATTTCTGCGTCTTATTTTCTCATTGCGGCCTCCATATCCCGCATGCGAAGCTTTGCATATATTTTGCAGGTGTATACAAGTGTGTGTATATATATATGACTATTATTCTAAAATGTAACTATCTTTCAAAGATACATTATGTACGTCGTGTACGGCATATGATATATACCAAACTTTCCAAGAGTATGGGTGCCACGTCCCCCAGAAAGGAACGTCCAATGTTAAACACAAGATATATACCAAACTTTCCAAGGGTATATGGATGCCACATCCCCCAGAAAGGAACCGACCTCCAATGTTAAACACAAGAAGCCTGTTTGCTGGCCACATTGTTCTGCCAGGCGCAAAAGCCATTGATGCGGTACGACGTGGCCCTGTCGCCGCCCATGCAGGAGTGTGTGCTCTCGGGGTTGTGTCTTGTTGTCGTGGACATTTGCCGACCACTGCCTGCACTTACTAGTCGTTTCTCCTGTGGACGAAGAGCGGAGTAGCAAGGAATTTTCTGAGCCTTTTTTTTTGATGAAAAGGTTGTGTCAAGCCTGTAACCCTCACCAGTCGCAATGAAGGACCGTTGTTGAATTGGTGCCTTTGTGCTGGTGTTGTGCTCAAATCACGAAAACAGGGGGCAAAACAATGCCCAGGGATATGTGGTGTTGATGTGCTCAAATCACGGAAACCGGGGCAACACAATTTCCATGGATATGTCGTGATTTGATTTCTAGGGTGGTTTGTTTGCTCGATCTTGCCTATCCAACAGGTCTGACCCCGAAGATTCCGCGTTCAGAGCGAACACCGGATAATAGGAGTCCAGGCCAGCGGGAATCCCAAAATAACCTTTTCACCCAGAACCTTTTACCAAACAAAGGAAAGTATTTTCTGGAATTGGCGCATCTTTCCCAGAGGGACCAGAGTTATCCAGCGTTCAGAGCGAGCACCGGATTTTGGGAGTCCAGCAGGGCAGATCCCCAACTGAATGAGCATCACCAAGCGCAGTCAATCATCCCCGTGTGCAATTGCCCCGCATTCTCCGAGCAGTGCCCATGGACCCATGCTGGCTTCATCGTCCTCCAGCAGTGGGTGTTTGTCACCATGCAGCGAAGTTGCTGTGGATCAGATGGGATCCTCTCCCATCTCTTCTTCCAGCGGATTCTTGACACCAGAAGCCGCTGAGCAAGAAGACATGGTGTCAATAACCTCTCCAAGTAGCAGCTTCTTGAGCTCTGGCAACGCTACTCCGACAAGGCCTTCAGAAGCACTTGCGACTGCGACTGGACCATCGGACGCTGCCATGGAATACCATGTCCTCCCACAAACTTTGCCCTTGTGCCAGGCATTTCGATGGGCTGCTCATGTGTGGCAGGGTTTATCCCAGATCTTGAGTGGCCTTTTGCAGAACTCCATGGTGAAAGAGCCTGTTTTTTTTCCACTGGCTGCTCTGGAATGGGTGCTCCAGAGATGGCCGCCTCCCTTCTTGAAGCCGCCAGCTTGGAGGCGCTGCCTTTTAAGGTGACCCTGGTTTGCCGGTCTATGTGCGACACATCGCCTCTCTGCAGACGCATATTGCTGTCCCGCGGTAGCCGGGGCTGTGTTCACAAGGACATGTTTGAATTTTGCCCCTTGTGGGACAGAGACACTATGTGCCCCACAGAGGCCATGAGACGAGCTTGCCGCAACAACATTCCATCGCCAGCACGGTTTTGTGAGAGGCACTCGCAAGAATGCTTTCCCTCCAGGGACCTTGTGCTGGATGTCACAGGCACGCCCTGCCCCCCTTGGAGCAGGAGAGGCCTTCGCCGGGGACTATCCGACCCTCGTTCAGCGGTCCTTTTTGCCTGGCTGTCTCGCATGAAAACGGCAAGGGTGCCTATTGGCTTGCATGAGAATGTCGTTGGTTTTCCGAGCCTTGTTGTCCTTGATGACTCCCTTTCTATTTGTTTTTTCTTCGATAAATGTTCGTTGGTGCACGGTACTAGTATTTTGGAGTGAGAGGTCTTTGTTTGCTTGCCGAGGACTGGGTTGATCAACGATGCCCTCGAGGACACGCATCGTGTGTGGCATTTAACGGTTTGGCCTGGCCAGGCGGGCTTCAACTGCATGAGCCGCCCGAGAATTTACAGCATCGTGGTCCGAAAAGATGTGCCTTTGCTGGGCGACCCCGTCGAGATTTACAACCGACTATGCTTGCACGTAGCCAGGTGGGAGCAGTCACGATTCAGGACCTTGTGGTGGCCAGTCCCCAGGAAACGCTTGCTTTCGAGAATATCTTGCGCAGAAAGCGCGGGCTGGACCCTCTGCACACACCCTCGGTGTCTTGGGAGTATTTGCTGACCAAATCGCAGAAGAGGCCTGGCCTGATCAAATTTGGGGGGGCCACTGCACAGATACCATGATTTGATGCTTTGAAAAGCGAGAGTTCAAGTTAGGATTTCTGAGTGTTGGTGATTCGCGAACATGACACCAGGCACCTGGGCTTCTACGAGTCCTTGTGGGGCCAAGAGCGGGGCAGCCTGGCGCAATCCGACCCGAATTGCGTCTTTGACCTGTCACAGAATCCCTCTCAGAGACCCTCGATGACTTCGCGCAAAGGCACTTGCCCTTGCGTCACGGCCACGTTTTGTTCCTTGTGGCACGCTGAGAGCCGCCGGTTTCTGCTTCCTCAGGAGTTGGCATTGGGTATGGGCTGGCCTTGTGCGGCGGGACCTGCTCAAGCGGCAGGTGTGCCCATAGATGCGTGTCGGGATTTGTATAGCGTCCCCTTGCTTGGAAATAGCATGCACGTCGCCAGTGTTGGCACGTTGCTCGCTGTGACCCTGGCTTGCTGCAAGGCCCCTCGAGATGCGTGAGAAAAGTGCCTCAGGTCTTCCCTGGTTGGTGGGTGTTTGCCACTACAAGACCCGGCCCTGGTTGGTGGGTGTTTGCCACTCCAACCTTTTTTGGGAGGGAGCTGAGCATGGCGTGTAACGTTCAGGGGCTGCTACCATGGCTTCTAGGCCCCTCCACCCTCACCCTGGTTCATCGCTACTAGGTTGAGGTTGGAGGCCATCGCTACTAGGTTGGAGGCCATCGCCAGGTTGGAGGCCATCGCTAGGTTGGAGGCCATCTCAGGCCATCGCTAGGTTGGAGGCCATCTCTACTGGGCTGGAGGCCATCGCTACTAGGTTGAGGTTGGAGGCCATCGCTACTAGGTTGGAGGCCATCGCTAGGTTGGAGGCCATCTCTATTGGGCTGGAGGCCATCGCATCGCTACGAGGCCATCGCTAGGTTGGAGGCCATCTCTATTGGGCTGGAGGCCATCGCTACTAGTTTGAGGTTGGAGGCCATCGCTACTAGGTTGGAGGCCATCTCTATTGGGGTGGAGGCCATCGCTGCCAGGACTTGGTTGTGCTGGCAGGCAGAGTGGACGGCAGGAGGTTCCTCCCCGAGCGCTTTCGGACGTGGGTTTGGGGGCGGGAGAACAATTTTTGCCATCCCAGTGAGACGCGGTTTTTTTTCCCCAAAAGAATTGGCCGCAGTAGCAAGCTTGTGACTTTTGGAGATGCCATTCTTGTCGACTTTAGATTGGAGAAGCCATTTTTGTCCAGACACTCGTGTTGGGTGATTGGCCTCGAGGTCGTAGCGGCGGGCTGAACGAAAGTGGGTTCGTTCACCTTTTTGGGGGCAGCTCACCATGGGCAAAGCAGGAAAGGTGGAACTCAAGGAGTCCAACATGGCTCCGAAGTTTGTGCGGTCAGCTTTGGTGAAAGTCTCTGCCATCAGTTTGGCAAAGGACAGTGGGTGGCGACCTTTGGACTCGGCCAGGGTGCAAGAAATATACACGGATCTGTTGCTTGGTCCTGCCAAGTGCTCCTTTTCTTTTTTAAACACCCGTTGGCACACTTGAAACAACAAGACGGACTAAAATAGAGCCGGCACAGGAGATTTGTTGACTTGCAAGGATCGATGGGAACTTTGGGGCTAACACCCTGAGCGCGCCAAGCTTGGTGGACAACGCGACGTCCACGGAGGATGGCTTGCTTTTGGTCGACAATGGCCTTCACTTTGTGGCTGCCATGCAGCGCATTGAGAAAGAGTTGGAGGGGAGTGATGAAACGCCCGCTTGGGTACCTGTATCGCCAATTCATGTGTTTTCAAGCCGGTGGGTTTGCAGGTGTCGGTCTTTTTTTGGCGGGAGCAGGATTTGAATTGGGCGGGACAGTCTCTGTGTGTTGACCTCTGGTGCCCCTACAGGGTATGACAAAAGCGGAAGATAGAGATAGGATCGTACAAAAACTACCTTGAGGCGGTTTGTGTTCGCATTAGTTTTTCTTCTTTGGGCTTTCCCTCCTCGCACATCTCGTGCTTTCTGTTTGGACAGAGGCCACTGGCCGGCTGCTGGAGGCACTGCAGCAGGGGGCCCGATTCGATTTCGTTGCCTATCCCGACAACGCGGACGTGGACGTGCGGGTTGCTTGGAACGGGATGCGACACGACCAGGACAGTAACCGGTACCTTCCAACGAGTGTTGAAGTCAAGCTGAAGATTGTGCAGGGTATGCGCGCAAGAGTCCCCGGGGGAGATTGGCAGAGCTGCATGAAGGACCGGGGGCTATTTTCTGTTTGCCGGCCTCGTTCAAAATGTTTCTGTCCATGACTTATGTGCGCCTTCGTTTGTTGTTTGTTTGCCACGTTGGCCCTTGCCTCCGGGGCCACCACGAAGTCGTAGTCGGTGTGTGCGTGGGACCCCCCTACTTTCCCCGGGGGAAAACCCTAATTTCCTGCGATGGTCCCTGGTAGGAGTTACTTGTGATTTAT